GGTCATTTTTTTTGTGAATTGGACAAATGACAACTCATCTCCAAGTTTCAGGCATTCTTTCCTCTTCCTAAATTTAATGTGGTACATGAAATCCGTAAGTGAAGGATGGAAAATTATGAATGGCATAGTGTGAGATTTGTCATACTGAGACATTTCTGACTTTTTATCTTGTATTTCTGCATTGGCATTCACACATGAATAAAAATCCCATATTTTCTTTCCTAGCCTATCTAAGTGATTGCTTAGTACCAGATGATTCATCATGATTATCCGTGACATTACAACTCCTGTAATGTCAAGGCCTCCAGCAGTTGATCTGCCAGTCTTCTCTATACGTTGCCGCCACTCTCTAATTGGGGATTCCCCAGATAGACCTGGCATACTCTGTCACTCCATTGATCCATCAGAGCCAAGGTCTTCCCACTCTTCTTGTCCCATAAATCCTTTCATCTAAGACCATCATAGGAATCTGATCTGAGGTCATTCTAATTATATGACCTGCCCATGAAAGCTCCCTACTATAAGTCTTCTTAGCTTAGCATATCGTCCTTATCCTCCAGATTTCATTGGCGTAAACTGAGCCATAAATTCTCCTCTGGAACATTAGAAGGACTTTCTGTGAACAGTGTGAAGTCCAGTATTCGGAGGCATGAGTGAGAACGGGTCTTACCAGGTTCTTGTACAGTTGCACCTTTGTGTTTCAAGAAATAACTCTGATTCTGAAATTCTTCAGTGATCCGACATAATTTTACAATGGATCTCTGCTTGTATAGATTCTCTGCACACATCAGAATGTTTCTGATGGAGAATATCTGATCAATGGTTGACTTTCCCCTCAGAAAGTCTGTCTGTTACTTTGCTATACCCTGATCCGCAAAAGGAAGCAGTACCAGATGGTTATGTGGATATTTGTTACGATATGATCAAGTATTAAGAATTTCTGGAACTAATCATTCACTAGTAAAAGTGTCTTATTATTTATGATTTAAAAATGACTAATTTTAATTAACTCTTGAAAATTGTTTTTCACATGTTACAATAATTTGTTTACCTTTAAGTTTTGTTAATAATGTTACTACTAATTTAGAATGATTGATACTTATATTGATTATAATCTTTACAATATAATTCATAAACAAATTTAGCATTTCTAATGAGATCTACTAAGGGTAAAGGATCACCATCATACTCAGGAATTAATTTAAAATCATGATCTTTTATTCTCATTGCCATCTCTGAGTTTACTCTAGCTTCTAGTAACAATTGATCAATATTTTTGTGGAGTTTAAGAAAAATTTGATTGCTTTAAATTGTAAAATCTATCTTGTAAACTAAACATTAAATGAAAATAAACTTATAATTACAATTTGAAATCTTCATAAACTTTGAAAAGATACCTCTGTAGTCTTGGAGAATGCTTTCTGTACTTGTATACGCAGTGGCAATCTTCCTAATGGATAGAAGTAGTTATGCTTCTTGATATCGGTCTTACACCCAATTCAAAGCTCCACAAAGTTACTATAAATATCTTCATAATTCTGCCCGAGTCCCTACGTTCAGGCACCAATTAAAGAATTTCAACGTACACAAGACTTTTTAAAAAGATTTATTATGAACAACAATCATAGATATAGTAACTAACTATAGATCTAGTCTGGCATAATAATTAGCTAATGAGATGCAATATACTGGGTAATCTGATTGCTCCCTTAGGTTCAAATAGGAGTCAGATAAGAAATGATTCATAGTTCTCAGAAGAAGCTCTCTCTGGTACCAACAAAGATAAGTTTTGACCTACAGTGCAATAAAACAAAAGGGAAAATGCTCATTCTTAACTCAGAACTTTTCTGTCTTATATAATTAATTTTAACTATTGGGGGTGGAAGATATATTAAAGAGGAGAAAAAATGGAGAAAAAAAACCCAACCTACTTTTTTTTTTACTACTGCAGCACTTACTAGACAAACACTCTAAGCTTTCAATAAATTACAAACAACTCATATATATGACAATAATAAGACTTATTTGGACTTACAGAATTGAGCTTTGGGGCTCCACTAAACCATCGAATTCCTCTCGTATCCAATCCTTACAATCCAAAATCCTTCATAAAATCCTCAACGCTCCTTACTTTGTCACAAACAAAATCATCCATAAAGACCTTAATGTTCCATATGTTTCTGATTTGGTCCAATCCAGACAACTACCCTTCCATAACAAACTGCAGAACCATCTGAATCCTCTCGTTTCAAACCTTGCTTCCTCCTCGATCTCTGATAACCCTCCGAGGCGTCTGAAAAGAAGATGGCCTCGGGACCTTCTAATATAGAACTTTAATTTGAGTTCTACCAATGGGTAGTTTCTCTTCATGTTGTACAGGTCATGTTACCAATGTCACATTTACTTGTTATATTGTTCATGTAATACAGTTGTAAATTTCATTAAAAATAAAAAAAAAACATTACAACAAATAATGAAGATTTTTAATGTTGGAAACAAGGATTCTATAATTGAAATATTTTTACTAAAGAATAGTACAGAAATAGATTACACACAGTGATCATCAAACATGTTGGAAGTAACTAACACATTATTTTACCAAAGTAAGGGAACTGGGGTTTGTTTTATGCAATGAATGACAAAGCAGGTTGGATCATTACCAGTGAGGAAGAGGAGCGGGGTGACCAAGTAGGCTAATGCGTGTGCACAGCACCGCGTTGCCCGAAAACCCGATGAAAGATTATTAGATAAAATAATTACAAGTTCGCGTCCCGGTTACAGAGAGGGGAGGGAGTGGAAGAGGGCTTTTAATTCTGGCATTAATCTCCCACCCTCATCCCCCTGGCCTGGGAAAGTCCAGTATAGGCTAAAAGGGGAGCAAGAGGACAAAAAAAAATTACCAAAATGTTGCAAAATAGTTTACTACTTATTTTGATCAAGATACATTTTTGTTTAATGGTTGTAATCCGTCGCTTAAGGGTAAAAAACAACAATTCAAAGAAACAACTCTTAATTACTACATAAATCAATAAGCAGAACAACATAAAAACTGATTGAGAGCAATTTTACAAAAATAAATTAGATAAAAATTGTTTTATTTGAGACTGAATATAAGGTAACTAGAACAAAAAAAGATCAATCTGTCTTATTCTATCCCAAACAATTTCAGTATCTTCCATGCAAAACTTCTTTCTGTTTTTAAGGCTGCAGAATATAGTAACCTCTATTATAAAAAGTGTAATATAGTTGTTCTCATAAATTCAGTCTCCATTTGCCAATGCCTACAAAATGCACACAAGACTCCAATTGCCAATTAAATACTGTATAAAATTCTTTATTTATTCAATAAAGCAATAAATTTTCATTTCAGTGGGTACCAGGACATTTGGGTCTATACAGAGATGAAAGTGCTGATCAAATTTCTCGAGATACTACCAAAGCAATAAGAATTATTAATTAAGTTCCAAAAACAGACATTTTCCATTTACTAAGTAAAACAATTGTTAATGAATGGCAGAATTTATATGACTGGGAGTCTCAAAGCAAAGGTAGAGACCACTATTTAATCCTTCTAAAAATTTCTTTAAAACTATTATTCGCACCTATTGGAATATGTTTGGAAAGAAGTGATGTGACAAATCTAATTAGGTTGAGAACCAATCATAGCAAACAAATAAATTCTTAATTAATTTAATATCAGTAGTTTCCACTTTGCCAGGACGACTCATTGCTTTATGCAGAAGCCTAAGTTTTTTTTTTTTGTAACTCAATCGTAAATGAAACAAATTGTCTCACCACATAATATATTCTTGGAATTCCAAGTTTAATTTTCTGGAAGTTCTGACTACCAATAAACTCCGGAAGATTATTATTTTGTTGTAAATTCTTTCTTTATGAAATATTACACTTTAATATCTAATGTGACGTATTATTTGCACTTAATGAATAACAATCTAAATCCAAATTAACTACAGCTTGTAATTAATATTTTATTTTGTAAGTCATAATCATGGCAAAAGTCATGATTTTTCTCAAGAAAAGTATATTTGTTGGTGAAATGCAATTTATTTTACTAAAAACAGTAAAGTTTTTTTTTTTTTTTTTCATGAGACTTTGTACTTAAATTTAAAACTGTTTTTTTTTTCAGCTGTTACCTCACCTAGTCTTATACAGGTTAAGAGTGTGTTCAAACCAAGGACTACGAGTCTAACACTACGGACTGAATTTTACCATTAGCAAGGTAGATAAAAGTACTATTTTGCAGGTGCTGCCCACCACTAGGAATAGTAGTAACTGCTGGTAATAGATTTGCTTTAAATGAACAGAATGGAGCATATCATTGGCACTCCTTAGCAGTTGAAGTATGATGTAAGCAGTTGAAGTAATATCTGTACTTCATTGTTCTGATCACCATAGAAGCAGTGAAGCATATAGTGAAGACAGTATAACAGTTCTAGGTTACGTTATGATATGAAAGATGAGTACGATAACAATCAAGTTGCTACGTTTCATTTCTTTTTTCATTATGTAAAATAAAATTTAACAAACAATTGTTAAAAATTGAAACCAAACTACAGATCATTTTTGTAAGGTTAAAAAAAAAATGTAAGTTAAAAAAAATTAAGAAATTCAAATATACCTAAATCCAACTAAAACATTAAATAAAGCAAATAATGGAAACAATTTTAATCTCAAACAAATACACAAATCTGAACATTGAAATCGATGTATTTTTTACATAAAGTGTTAATTTATTAATAATCTAATAATGAAACATTATTTGTTATGATTTCATTACAAATATTTGATTTCTATTATTGAAATTATCATAATAATAAGAAGTCATAAATTTAAAATCACAGATACACCTTAAAATAATATTTAAGCATATTCTTCAATAAAACTTTTATCAAAATACAATTAATTTATAACAATAATACAGTTAATTAATCAATACATTCTAAAACACTATTAACAAAAAAAATTAATATTAATTTTACCTGCTTCAATGTCCTAACAGGTGATTTGGTTCTACTACTCAATACACTAATCATTCCTCCTCTAAAGCATGAATCAAAATCGTTTAGCTCACAGCCTTTTTCATAATATTCAACAGCCTAAAATTTAGAAAATAAATGAAAAATATAGCAGATTAGTTTTATTAACAAATTTATTATACTCCAGTTAATCATTATTAGTTACATAATCGATTTATTGCAAAAAAACATTAAAATTTTCTCTCTTCACTTACTGTTTGTTCACATAAATAAATAAGGTCAAAATTTTATGTTCTTAAAAGCTTAGAAGAATTAAGCGCAGTCAATCAAAAATTATATGTTGAGGCCACAGTCAGTGGGTCACTGATTACAACCAAATTTTTTTGGGTGACGATACATCGAAAAATATTGGACACATGCCTTGGTCAGTCAGTTCCGTCAGTCAGTTGAAAGATTCTGATGAGAATTCAATCAATCCTAGCTGTCAAACTCAAGATAAATTTTATTGGCCATTTCCACTTATTTCATTGGTCTAATTTACCATAATTTAAAATTTCGTTAAAATACAGAAAAAAATTACAGTAAAACTTCCTGTAGTGGACACTTCCCTACAATGGAGAAATTAATAATTCCCATCTTATTGCAATAATTTAAAAATACAAATGATTCTGCATAACAGACCTATAAAGGCTTGATGTAAAGATTTTGATTGAAAAATTTTTCCATATTGGATACTCATATTCTGAGATCTTTTATACAATTAACAGTAGCTAAGTTCATTTGTATATACTAGAAATTTGTTTATTAAATAGGGATTATAGGTTTAATATTTTGTTATTACTACAACAATTTGATTGTCATCACGGCATTCAAAGAAAAAAATTGACATTATTAATAACTTCTTTGTATTCGCAATTTAAGCAGACGATTTAAAATTGGAAAACCAATAGTATGTGATATTTTAGAGATGAAATATAATTATGAAAACAGTGAACCTAACAGGAAAATTTTAAGGAAAACATTTTATAAAAAAAACTTCAGATTTATCCACCCACTTTCACACTGCATCTGTGAGGTCACAATACATTTTTTTAGTCATTGAATCTTTTGAGTAAATTGAGTTTGCCAGAAAATTATTAAAAGATTGCAAAATAGTTCATTAAATGTTGAAGACAAGTCACATTAGTCATCACACATTACAATTCAGAACCAGATGACCCATAAGATAAAAAACCCTCCGATGAAGACAAAAGCTTTATCATAAATTAGTAGGCTGAAAAAAGTTTTCATTTTGAAAAATTAAATTAAAAATAAAAAAACTGATTTTATCTACCAACGCCAATTTGGAAAACAAAATAGTTATGCACCAAAAATTTCAATTAAAAATCACAGATTACTATTTTAAGTACATAATTTGAATTTTTTTTTTTTTTCAAAATTTTACTTAAGTAATAAGCACTCTTAAAAAAAAAAAAAAAAAAATAGATTATTTATCATAACAATTATAATATAAAGTAAGGCTAAGTTTTTATTTCACCAGATTTATTTCCATTTTACATTGGCTACGTTTCGCTAGCTTACATATGAGTATAATCCAATTATGGACTAAATATAAGAAGCATGATCAAATCAAATGGCTTGGAAATGGCATGCAAGCGAAACGTAAGCAATGTAAAATGGAAATAAATGCGGTGAAATAAAAACATAGCCTTACTTTATATTATTATAAATAATTTCACCTAAAATAAATAAGCACAAATGAATAAAAATTATATTTAAATTGTAAATTTAAAAAAAAAATTGTTTTCAAATGAATAAAAAATTTAAATCATATTGCTTATAAAATACAATTTTAATCTACAATACATTTTTTTTATCACATTTTATTTCCAGTTTCTTTAAAACTTACACCTTTATAGTTTTAATTTATATGCTATTGTTTTTTTATTATTAACATATCGATAATTGAGGTAAATATTAGTTTATTTTTACTATTTGTTTCATTAACTTTCAGGATTTTTTATCATATGTGGTTCATATTTTGAAACATATTAGTGAAAATACAATTACTAACATGCACATATTTAGCATTTTATTTTACTTGGAAATCCAGATTCTAATGATGACCCTTGCTCTAACCATGATATATAAAAGAGTACTATACTCAAATCATTTTTTGATAATCCTAAAAACTACTCCGACTGCAGGCCCAACCAATCAGAGAAAAAATCATCCAACCCATATTTAATCCTATTAATATATTCACTTGCTTTCAGAAGGTAGTGAAGCGCAGGCATGCCGTAGAGCAAACGCTCTGGATCATGAAAAGTCAAGCAATTAATAAAAAAAACTATCTTTCTAGGACCACATAGATAGGCCTATACATAGGCCGAAACAGAAATTAACTCAGACCAATTATCGGAGTACTCACAGGCCACAACAAACTTAAAAAACCTAAAGATTTGTGGAGTAGTGGATGATAAAACAGCAGCTAACGTGGACAAATTGTACCCTTACCATCACTTAAGTAGGGTACAGTCTTCTGTCTTTTGATACAATCCTAGAAAGCCAGGCTTGCTCCATTACATGATCACCTTTAAAATTTCATAAAGAAAACCAAAGTTTAGAATAAATGAAGAACAAATCTTTGGTTTTCTTAGGGTATGAAAAAAGTAACATTAGGCTAAAGTTTTAACTAGACCACTATAGTAAACATATTAACTACACAGTATTCTATACTGGATTACTAATAAAGCTAGTAATAAAATTAAGTATTAAATTCGTAAAACTAAAACAATGTCGAAATATAACTACCATTTCACAAAAAAAATTACTCAACAATTACAAGTAAGCAAAAACAATAATACCAATGAACAGAATATAATGAATATCTCTTTATCACAAATTCTCTCAAATATAGAGATAATGGGCAGAGAACATTAGGAATAGCTGAAACTATCATTCAGCTGACAGTTCATTATCATGACACTGTATTTAGTGAATCAATAAGTAAAAAATCACAGTGTCATATGGAATATTTAATTTCAGAGAAAAATATAGCTACCACATTGAGTTTTGGCAACCATTAGCACCAAACATCAAAATCAACTTGTGCAATCCAGTTTGACTTGACACTTTTCTATTTTATTAATAGAACAATTAACATACATCAGATACAGTTATATGACAACATTAAGAACTATATATAAAATTTTGAAAGAAATCTTACATTATACCTATTTTATATACTATGACATAAGCTAATATAACAAATAAATAAATCAAAATCACCTTAGATTCAGATTTCTGAAGGCCACCTTTACCGGTGAGAAAATAATTTCCAATTTTAAAACAACTTCGGCCAAAATTACTACTGTCACAATTAACCCTATACACTTTGCCTGCTTTATCAAAGTCTTGGGAAGTTGCTTCTAAATAATCGCCTAGTAGGTGGCATACTAAAAAAAAAAAATTACTTCTAAATCAAAGTACAATGTAGAGAAGAATCGTTTTTATCTTTAAATATATTAAACCTTCAGGTTTTTTTTCACTAAAACATCCAAAGCGATATTCAGTTCCAAGGTTCTTAATATATTCCTTCACTTCTTCCTCATTTTTTAAATTATAAGTCATTTTAAGTAATGTAGTAGCATTAGTTACAAACTCGTGTCTTGTATTATTAGACCAGAAACAATAATTTAGCATCCCAAAGAAAGGTTACTAAGCTTTTTGTTCTTTACTTTGAAATGACGTTCAGTAACAAGAGGTATTAGGCTTAGGAAAAGAATAAACACAGTTTCAATAAATAAAACTGTGTCCATCAACGTTTAAAAATATAAAGATAGTAAGCATTTAGTTCAGAAGAAAAAATACGTAATGTTTTATGTTTATACTAAGCAAGATAAGCTAGTTCAGTTTTGTGATAACTTAAAAAAAACACCAATAATGAAGCTTATTGTGTTCCTACGAGACTTAAGTCGCAGCATTTCACCAAAGCGACAAGTGTAGAGTGATTATATATAAATGGTTGTAGACATATCACAAGTAAGATTTATTCTAATCTATCAATCTATTAACCTAAGTATAGTTGATTGGAAAGTAAATTATATTACAATTATGCTTTATACTTCATTAATACACCAGAATAACAGATTTTTTTTATTTCCCTGATTTTCTATTTGGTATTCTATTTTTCTATATCCAATCTGAGTTTCATTGTTGTTCAGAAATAATGCTGTGTTGAAGCTGGATTGACTTCTTAAGTAGTTGAGAATTGTCTTTTATCAACAAACTTGTAACTAAGAGTTAGTTCCCACTTAGCATGAGAGAATATAGAATTATCTTTTCAAGTAATTCCCGAATTAAAATGGAAAAGAACAGCCATTTTACGACATTGGTGACTGGAACCTGATAATTTCAAATACCATGTCTGCAGTGCCAGCCTTCTTCGGCGCCCCCCGGGCGCCCCCGGTACCCTCTCCCTCTAAAAAAAATTAAATTTATTTATTAAGATGTTTTATATTATTTGAATTTTATTGCATTCTACGTTTACCAAAACACAGTAGCTTTATTGGAAGGCTAAAATTAATTATTTTAATATGTTTTGTAACTTTTTCTTTATTTCATAAGTGGTGAATCCCCAGAAAATCAGCCAGCGCCCCGGGGCATGTGCACCTGATGCCCCAACCTATGCTACTTACACGATTAAGAGCTCCTTACACGATCAATACTAACTATTGAGTCAATATCGAGTTTCATCAACACATTGACCGTTTAAGGGCTACATCACATACACAAGCATCACTTGTATTGACGTCAATCAAACTAATTGATATCAATTTAAAAAAAAATTATTGATATTCCTTCAATATTATTGAAACAGTGTCAGTATAATTACAAGTCTAAGCTATATTGGACAATATTAAATAATATATACGGATCTTGAAAAACTCTGGGCGGTACCAAATTTCTGGTGCCCCCAGTAATATGTTTAAGGGGGTGGATACTTTGTTTTAATGTTTTTTTAGGAGGGAGGGTTAAGATTTAACCCCCACCTCCGATTTTTTTTAAAAGATAAAATGGCAATATGTTAGGATAGGTGGGTGATACTTTGTTTTACTTTTATTAATTTTTATTTGGGAGGGGGGGAGATTGAACCTCCACCTCCAATTTTTTTTAGAAGATAAAATGACAATATATTTGGGTAGATGAGTGATACTGTTTTACTTTAATTTTATTTGGGAAACTGGAACTTTTTTGAAAAAGATAGTGGCAATACGTTTGATAAATTAAATAATTACTAAACAAGAACAGAACTAATTTGAAAAAAAAAAACATTTTAATGTCTATGAACAAAATAGGCATTTCCAAAGAACACACACTCTCATACATATCTATATATAAGTTAACTGTATATAGGATGTATTATTCTTAAAGATAAGTTAAATAATTGTTTAAAAACACATGTTAATATAGAGAATTGATAGATAACAAAAAGGTGAGGTTACAAAAGTGTTATATTAATACAGTATATATATATATATATAAGTTAAGCGTCGTCGGACTTCAAAAATAAAAAAAAAGAAGAAAAGGGATAGAGAGGCAACACTCACGGCTTCTGAATAAACACTGCTTTATTCGTTCAATAATTCTCCTTATATACAGTTAGCATGTTTGTTTACATTGCCAGATGGTATTAAGGCTGATATCGCCAGTCTTCGGTCTTTATCTTCCCCCCCCCACCAGTTTACGAACAGGATTTTCGGAAACTTAAATATTCCTAGATCGGAGCCAACGGTGACCAGCCTTAACACTTTACAATTGTTCTTACAGTATACCCTTAAAAGATACTAAAACTCACTTCAACTCAGCTGGAAAAAAAGAAAGAAGAAAAAGGAAAAAAAAAAAAAGAAAAAACACAGAAACTAAACACAACACCTGCTTCCAAGAACAGAACTCTTAATAACCTAAACAAAAAAAATAATACAATTTCCTCTACAGCATTGCTATAATTCTATTTACATAAAAAAAATTTCACCATATTTATGTTTTTACAGCCAAAAAAAACATATTTCTTATATACAGCGGTGAGGGTACTACGAATCCGTTGGTCTATGTTCCGGTTCTATCATTGGGAGCTTCAATTGTTCAATGTGAACAGTTCTCCTCTTTCTGGGTTCATTAACGCTTTCGATAGTTAGCAGATTATGCTCCCTAATAGCAACCACTCTGAATGGACCCTCGTAACCGTAGCAATTGTTTTCCCTCTGTTGGTTCCCAATCTACGTACACAATTGTTGCGATCTTTAGTTCCCCATTTGGTCGCGTACCTGCACATTCTGCCTCTCCACCCGCTTCTTCTTTTCACGCTTAATTCTCGCCGTTACCTTCTCCATTTTTTCTCCACCTCTACCCTATTGCTCTGAATTTGCTCTACTAACGGTTCGGTAATCGTAGTTTCCCCATAATCCCGCCTTGGCCTCCGCGTCCCGAATAGAACTTCTACGTGAAAAACCCCGTTACGAGTGGATCGAGTGGTTATAGCTGTTACCGCCTTCCTCATCGCAACATCCGGCTCCAACCCTTTTCCCCCTGATATACACGGATGTGGTCGCTTAATGTGCTGTGCAACCGTTCGATACCGCCTCTACTTTTAGGATGGTGTTATAATGCCACGCAATCTCCAATCGCTTCACCTCCTCCCTAATCGCGGCATTGTCAAACTCCCTACCACCGTCTGATGTAATCCTCTCGGGGACCCCATAGAACTGCACCCAGGTTTGTAGGGCTTCCGCAACTGCATTGGCTGACTTGTCCATGACCTGATGTGCCATCGCCACTTTGCTGAATATGTCGATTAAAGTGACCCACTTGAACCCTTTCCAGGTGCATGTAATCAATCTGGAGGTCCTGTAGCGGCATATTCCTGTAGTGTCTCCTCCTGAACTCCTCTGGGGGGTTTCGATCGTATTTTGTGCGCACGCATATCTCATTTCCCAAATATTTCCTGGATGGATCTCTTCATGCCCCACCAGAAATACTTTCGACGTAATGCCTGCAACGTCTCGTTCACGCCTCGGTGATTGGTTTTCCCCTGGTGATATGCCAATGTGACTGCTTGCTGTTGCTCTTCGTCTTGTATCGTCTCCACCGTATACTTGCACCGGATGAATGTCCTGTCCACGCCTATTCGCTCGGACCTCCACATTCGCTTATCTTATCCATACTGTATTGTTTCCAACGTATAGATAGTGCGTTTTACCCGCTTCCGAGACGCCCTCAGTGCCGTACAGATTTGTTCTTCGCTTACCCCGGGTTGCGCCCAAATGACGCGAATCCTACTCCTCCCATATCTTCTGAAATCTATTTTCAGAAGATATTGAGTTCGGCTCTAGCCGGTGACAAAGATACATCGGCTCCACGGCGGTTTCCCTTTTAATAGGGTTTTATTCGCCCAATCGAGCCAAAAATTGACATGTGACCGAGGACGTACGCTGGAGACCTGCTGCTTGAATTTCGAAAAAATCAAGCAAAGAACTTCGCCAGGACTAGGAGGTAAAAAAACTCAACGTGCCTGTGGGACCGGGGTCCTTATCACTGTGCAGAACAGGACTTGTCGGCCCCCTCCACCTCACAGCGGCCGCCTCCATCCAGCAAGGTCAGTGGCGTCTTATCAATACCAACAGCTGTCACCGAAAGAGCCCAACCTATTTTGTTAACCTTATCCATTGTTTCATTGATTTTCTATATTCTCTCTCTGCTCTCTTATTCAAGGAAAAAAATTATATATATATACATATCAGCTTTATCAATCGATTTATTTATTAAATTTTATTTATTATTTATTCAGTGGACGTGGGTATGTGTTTTTAATTTTATTTAATTTTTTTAACAGTATATTTTAAATTGTTTTTATTCATTAACTCATTTATTAATTTATTATTATTTAAATAAGATTTTATTGATTGTATATTTTAACTTGTTCTCAATTGTTAACGTATTTATTAATCTTTTATTTTTTATTCAGATTATATTAACTGAATATTTTAATTTGTTTTTAAAAAAATTGATTTTATAGATTTTAACTTTTTACCATTACTTATTTGATATATTTTAACTTAATTTTAAGCAATTGATTTGTATATTTTAACTTCATTTTATATTTTAGCTTAGTTTTAAGATTAAATTTAACTTTTTATAGTATAACTTGGTTTCTATTGATTTTAAATTTTAGATTATTTTACCATTATTTATTTGATATATTTTAACTTGATTTTGTGCAATAGATTCTATAGATTTTAACCTATTAATTAACTTTTTTTTTATTATAACTTGGATTCTCTTGATTTTATATTTTAAGTTATTTTTAAGCAATTGATTTTATAGATCTCAATTGTTTTTTAGCTTTATACATTTTACATTTTAACTTTTTTTAAACATATTTATCTGATACTTAAGTTGGCATATATGCATGTCTCTCTCGTTTAGTTTTTATTTATTTATTTTTATTTATATATTAATTCTCCTTAAAATAATTTATTGTAATCATGCGTGTGGTATACATGGCCTCGAATAAATAGATTGTATTTTAAATGGACCTAAAAATAATGAAAAAAATCGAAATTGGCCAGAAA